TAGGGTTCCTTCAAACCTAATTTTGGTGATTTTATGCTTCAGTTTGCTTTTCTCTTCATCTCTTATGCTGAATTTGCGTTTCTGGGATTTTTATGCTAGAATTAGATCAACTTGGATTTGCATTTATGGAAACTTTTGACTGAACAAGTGGAGCATTGAATTGTGCGGTTCGAGATATTCATTAGAGAATTATGTTATTTGGAATAGAATTAAGTCAACACGATTGGTTTCTGGAAATGCTATCATGTTTTGGAGTCATTATGATTCCATAAGATTCCATAATTACCGTGTAAGAGTGTTAATTCGAGGTATGTCTATTCTAGGGATGTTTCTTTGAGCAATGATTGGAAGGAAACAAATGTTCTTTAAACAGCCAATTAGGAACCCAGATATAGAATTCGATTAATGGCTCAGTGACACCTTCAAGCCATTTAGTATTGTCTATCCGAGACTGTAGAGAATAGTGACTATGTGGATTCCATTCGTTTTGTTAGAATTCTTCTGTGTACATTATGAAAATTTTGAACACCATAAATTTCTGCTTTACAGTTCACCTAAATACAGCTGTTGTCGTACACAGTGACCAATATCAATATATTGGAAAATTAAATACCTGATTAATAGGGAAAAACCACAACTTACGTTTAAGCGTTCCTGGGTGACGCGTGAGAAAACAGCGTGGACTATCTTTGATACAGTTTATGTTCAAGACTATCATTGAGACAGTTTAAGTTTAATGAAAGTAGAACTCAGTAAGGCCTGTCAGACGTGAGTAAGTGTTAAGTTCAGAAAAAAACTACAGTTTTATGCTTAAAAGAGGGAGGATATATATGCCCCAAGATGTATAGATACTTGAGTTGTAGAAGAGACCTTGTTAAATAATTTAATCTATTTTGTGACCTATAGATCAATGGTTTCTGAGAAACATGCTCTAAGATTGCGTTCAATGGCTAAATTTTAATGAAAGATAGGGTGCTTAATTGACTTGAACATTGACAACAAGTGTTTGTATACTTATCTTTATCGAAGAGATTCACTTCCACATGTTGGAAGTTTAGATACGCTAAAAATCCATGGAGTTTAATAAATCCTCACTTCGACGTTTCGCTTTCAATAAAATAGTCTCCCAAATTTCTATTCAGTCTGAAGTAGTCGAGTTTTTGAGAATGCGTTAATAGTCAGACAAAAAGAGTTGCACATGTGCAACATGTGTAGTGAAACAACGTCGATAGAAAAATGTAAAAAAATTGCTAAACCTGATCTTGAAATGTGTCTGCATCAACAAATGAGGCTTGGAAAAAACTAATTAATCAAGTATATTTTAATCCCAATAAAATAAAAAGAAAACCTGCTAGACATATTAAACCCATAAAACACAGCCACCTCTTGTTTCCCATTGTCACCACTAGAACTTTTCTCCATCCACACACCATCACCCTCTGATTCAATATTCACTATGGCCAACCATTTGATTCCCTGTTACCACCGTACCACTTAGTTCCTTCACCATCATTTAGCTGTTGACCACTGCTGCCACCACCTTTTCGGAGCCCAATTATTATCATTAAGGTTGCTTTTGGCCATGCTAGATTACAACAAATAAATAGTTCTCCAGTCAAAGCGTGAATGTTCATTAATTGGACAGTAATAAAGCTAAATTTCATAAATTAAGTAGATGATCCTAAAATGCAGACAAAACTCTTTAAGTTGATAATTAGAATATGGCCTCCTTTTCCAATTTCTCTTTTTACCTATCTATTTCTACTCTGATTTCTCTCAAATATCATGAAATGGTGTTAGAGTGGGTCTTGTTAATAATCACGAGAAAAGTGACACAGGAATGTGTGCACTATGGAAGTGAATTGAAGGAAGTGGCTTCCTTCCCTACACTAACACCATGATCATTTAGGTATGTGCTTCTGATGAGGACAATCTGATTGAGATGTGATTGGTTGACTAATGTAATACACTGCCTTATCGTACACATTGTACCTAATTAATGTCAACACAATCTTCCATCAAAGTGCGTGGCATAAAAATTATTACAAATTGGACTACTTTGTGCCAAAATTGAAACCTGAAGGCCTACTGTATTAACATTTGAATGTCTTAGACTTAAAGGAGAATTTGCCTAAAATTCAGAGACTTTTAGGATTAAAGAACATTATCTTGCATCTTTTTTATATATCTTTGACCCCAACAATAAATATAGTATGCCAGTTTCTTGGTATAGTCAACAACTGGCTTTTCAAATCTAACAGAAACAAACCAAGTACTCATTGATTATTTGACTTCCATGTTCTCTTTTTCTCCAGCCCCATATTTAGTATCCAGTATCCTTTCACCCCATCTAATCTCACATGCACACAAAAGAAATGGATCATCAAAGCACATGCACCAACCCATTTACATTGTCTTGAGAGCATCTGTGAAACTGCAAATTCTGGAAGTTACCCAGATATAACTTTTCTAACAAGATATATGTTAAAGTCAAATCTAAGTTGCGAAAGCTATTGTGTTAAAATTAGCAAAAAGTGCAAAGCTTTAGCATAGCCATCAAAACTATGAATTATGTTGCTGTTACATGACATGTGTCATCAGTACTACATTCAAACCAGGCCGGATTCTGTGGCATCTGTGCTAAACTGAGTACAGGTCTGGTTCTGTGGAAGACAAAGGTCCTTATTCAGCAATGTGAAGTGTACTCCAATCAGCGGTCCGTAAATCAATGAGTGAAATCAGTTCTATAACTTAATTCGACGAAATATTATATGAAAATCATCACTGGAAGAGTTCATGAGATTCATCCTTGAGATTTATCACCGAAAATAAGTGTTGTATTGAAAACATATAGGATTAACCATTATAAGTCATCATATCAGGGCAAGTAGCTAGTGGTGGTATCCCCTGACAAGAAATCATCTCTGATTAATGGGCAAGGCAAATGCTGATGATGACATCCCCAACGTATTTTGCAACACTCATCTTTCATTTGGTACAGAAGATTAAGACGGATAAATAAACACACAACAAAGAAGAAATAAAAATAAGATATATGGGATTCAATTTGCATAAGCTGATAGTAATGGTCCTAATGGAAGATAGAAAACTTGAGAAACAAACTAAGGGGCCATGTCTCGGTTGGACAGAAAGTTAGCAGGTGCAGTCGTCACTGGAAAATAGATATCAATATAGAAGGTAATTAACTTTTGAATGATGAGTTTACTTTGGGTAGAAGTGGAAATCAATTATCTATTTAAATTCAGGGTGTTACTTAGATTGAAAATTGGAATATTTGGTCAGAAAGAGGCACAAGACTTGAACTCTTACAATAAGTGGATCCCTCACAACACGAGAACATTCTCATTCTAATATATTTGATCATTGAATTTTGGCTAGTACTCCCCCCACCCCCCCATCCCCAAAAAAAAATTCCAATCTCAGTTGCCATTTGAATAAGTTGCATTATACGCATTAATGACCAAGTTATTGGATCCATTAGCTTATATTGTGGACTAATCACTGCAGAGATGGGCTTTTATGCATGGCACCCACCTGGTGACTGTATTGTTCTCCTATCCTCTATTTTCAGACGTTCTAGAAATTGGATGTTGAATGTGACCTATGTTCTAATCTCTATGGTTACATAGTGGAATTGATAGTTTAAGACCTGCTAAGGTCTTCTCTATGCACATGTTTTGTTTTTGAGTTTCTAAGATATTTTCAGAATTGAAATTCTGATTGGTTGCTGTAGACAGTTACAGGATTAGCAACATTACATTTGTAAAATGTGTTGCTTGTTATTTTCATGAAATATATTGTTACTTTCTCGATATATATTTTTATTGTGCTTGTGCATTTCCGAGAATTGCCGTATCTCATATGCTGTGTTTCTTGGATGTAGGGTGGATGTTGCAATCTTCGTGATATGGGAACTTATCATTTTAGCATTCATCGTTTTCTCTGTTGTTTCTTTATATTTTAGACATTTGAGGCTTGCTGTTTTTTTGGTATTTATTACAATGCTACTGTTTTTATGCATGAAAATTACGAAGCAAGTAAGACTGGCCCGAAAAAAGAAGCGGAGGATGCTTCTTCCATTATCTATGTAGAAATCAATTAAGTGAAAACTCTTTTGCGACCATGTAGCTTGTGCAAATCCTTGCCCATTGCTTTGGTCATCTTTTCGTTTTCCTTCCTTTTTTTCTTAGTGTATGTAATTGCACTGAACGCTAGTTGATTTGAAGAATATAATTGATATGATTAGTTCTTTATGAGATTATAAGGTGGCGACTATAGTTTGAACAGGTTTGATGTTTTGGACAGAATGGATTAATCACCTCTTGGCTGTGTTGTTAATACCTTCGTCTTTTTGAATCTCTTGATGGATTTATCTTGTTGGGAACTGTAGATTTGGTTTTTATACTGGCATTACGTGTCCTAATTATGTTTTAGTTGCACAAACTTAGATATAGTAAACTTGAGGCTATCGTCCTCCACCTTGTGTATGGAAATACAGACCATATTTATTGTTACTGAACAGAAGATCAAATGGTGCATCTCTTCAATTGTATACTATTTTCCGTTGTCTTGATTTCACATAGATTAGTGAATGACCCCTTACATTATGCATTTGATAAATGGCCTACATCAGAGAAGTCTCGACTAATTAGCAACAGTTGTAAGTAGCTTTTCACGTTATCATAGTCGACCTACTCACTGGGGCTTGAAAAAGTGGACTTCTATTCCGTGTGTCACTATGGTCCATATTGCGCTCAATACTAGTAGAATGCTCAGTATAAGTCCCAGAGATCCTAGTGACCAATTGAGAGACCACATTGCACTATACTTTTCTGGCTTCTTGATCATAATCCACATCAAGCAGGGATATGCTAAAGTTACTGGCAATGCAATCCCTCCTATCAATCCAGCCAAACTTGGCAAGAATGGGAATGCTATGGCTACGAAGAGTGTCAGGCATCCAAAGAACATGCGCAGTGCCGTCCTAACCCACAATGGACACGGTCTGTTCTGATTGCTAGTGTACCTGAACTCGAAATTGTCGAAAACTGGCATTGCGTATATTTGGAAAGAGGTGAGGCTGTTGATCAAGACCAAGAGACTTGCTAACCCCAAAATAACCTTACTCGTGTCATGTCCATGATACTTGGCCAATGCACTCAAGATCCCGGCATTTGCAGGCATTTGGTCGAAAAGTGCATTGTCATCAGAATGGAGAATTAAAAAGTTCCCATATGCCCAATAGCCTCCTATTGCCAGTGGAAACAAACAGCAGGAGATGATTAGATATGCAAACTTCACCCCTTTCCACATTGGCTGATGCGATGGGTGCTTTAGACTAGAAGGCATAGTTCCCTGTGAAATTAACTCCAATATACAAATCAATCAATCAATCAATCAAAATCATATTATTTAATAATAAATTTGAATAATTGAACTGTCCCTTTCTTTTCTTTTCAAGTTACAATAATACCATTTGTACAAAAATGGTTTTGCCAGAAGATGTGGGGCCCTACTTTGTATTTAAAAAAAAAAATACGTAGGCCCCACCGTGTGTGTTCTGTTGGCCTTATGTGGCTTCTGCTTCTGTACACGAAGCAAGATTGTTTAAGTTAAAAGAAATGGTTATTTTGAGAGTATTCTTACTTTATAGACGTATACTTGGCACCTATTTGTTGTAAGTTAAAATCAGATTTTTAGTAAATTTTGATAAAAGTTGATAGAATGTGTGGTTGAAAAGTTGTGGGTCCCATGAAATGCATGGTTAAAATTAATTGTTGACTTTGATTTGAGATTAAAATCAAATTCTAATTTGTACCAACTTGGGTTATTCTTGATGAACAGGGCTGGCCATGTTCAAACCCCCTATAGGCGGGCCGCCTGTAGGGCATTGTTAACTTTCGCTAATACATATTTTACTAATCACAATCGACATAGGATTACAAATGTACTAATAAGCATTAATGTATGTAAAGTATCTTTTAGATTAAGCTCTTGTTTGATGGGGATTAAAATCATGTTTTTAGTAGATTTTAATAAAAGTTGATGAAATGTGTGGTTGAAAAGTTGTGATCTCATGAATTGAGATGTGTGGTTAAAATTTTTGTTGATTTTGATTAAAGTCTTGATTTTAATCCATGCCATACAAGTGATAAAGAAAAGGTAAAATTACAAACCTGTATTTCCAAGACAAGATTGTGACCCCTGAAAGCAAACGCAATGATTCCAAGTGCATTAAGAATGCTGCAACTGTTAGCAATAACAGATTTGGTCTCTAAGGGTTCATAGGATATGCCATTTGGCCTGTTTTTGGTGACAGATAAAACCCATGTTAGAGTGCAATATGTGATTGCCGTGGTGGCGCCGATCAGGGACACTCCGGCGATGGAGTTCAAGTTGGGAAGTTGAGCCAAGATCACGGCTGAGCAAGTGAAAACAGTGTACCACTCAACGGTGGTTATTGAATTTGCATTGCATGTGGAGTTGCTACACACAATTTGGAAGAAGATTTTCAAGGCGGCCCCGCCGATCATTATTAGGGTTATGCAAGTGCCGCTGGAGAGATACATCGTTGGAAGAAGCGCCATTAGCTTTCCCAGTTTATTACCTGAAACAATATCCTCTAGGTGTATTAGTGGCTCTATTCGATAACGTTGAAATTTACTCGATACCATGTACTAAATATGCACAATCACGTACATGTCCATACTATAACGTGTCTCGTCTATTCTTTGATTAGAATTTATTTATCCGAAGAACCACATAGGTAAGAGAAACAATGAACAAATATTGACAAACTATAATGTTTCTCGTCTATTCTTTTACATAAATTTTCGAGTGTGTGGTGGGTCGTCAAGCATAGTCGATCTACTATGGACGTTCTCACGATAAAGGCTATCCCACTTGCTTTTGACATTTGATGCACAAAAGGATTGTCAAGCATAATTGATCTAATATGATCGTAAAAGATTTGATTTTGTTCTGTCTTTAGTAGAAGAGAAAGGGACCCAAAAATAATGCACATAATTTAATTATTAGAGATAATGATGGAAGTCAATAATTACCAAAAGCAGCCATTGAGAGTAAGAGGTATCGGCTATGGCGAGTTCCAGGTACGGATTCATGGAGCTGTATTAGTAACCACAACGTGTATAATTGCCATACAAATGCCAATGATAGGCATATAATTCCCCATGTCCTGCAATTAATTAGTCGTTGGAGAAACCTTATCAGATGTTGACACACAAAATTTTAAAATATAAAAAATTCTAATCTTTCACCGTTTAAACTTTGAGTAATGTTATTCATCCCCAGGATTTAACCTATTATTTAGAGTCACTTAAACTGTGTTTGTAACCCCAGTGGGAATAAATTGCATTACTCTTAAACTTTTAGATAAACACGGTCCGTAAAAATCAACATTTGATAAACAAAATTTTTTTATTGCTATGTTCGTGTACGACGACAATATTTGTTATAAGAATGTTCTTTTATATTTATTAATATCATTAGTAATAATGTAAAAATTACTTTACTCTTTAATATAAAAAATATATATAAGACAACTATATTCACACTACTTATTTTAAAAAGAAATAATTTAATATCTATTAGATTTCAAAATTTATAAAATTAAAGTACAATTAAAAGAAGCACGCACTCTTTGTTCGCCTTAAGTTTAAAAAAATTATTTACAAGTAAATATTCAGTTTGTAGGTTAAGTTTATAATTATTTCCTTCAAAAGAGTTATATTTTCATGTTTTTGCCTTTTTTTGAGTACTGATAAATAATCATGTGGAGGTCTTTTTTTTTTAAAAAAAAATATTTATAATCGTCAAAATTAAAAATAAGCAGGTTACTTATTTTTAATTATAAGTAATTTCCTACTCCATAGACAAAAATCTATGAACTTACCAACCAAGGGCAGTAAAAGCAAGTGGAAGAACAAGGGCTTGAATTCCAATCCCAGAACTTAGGGTATGAAATGCAGCATAATATGCATTCCCGTTTCTTGACTCAGTAATGGGCAGCCAATCTTCTTGTGGATCAAGCTTCGTCAGATGGCCAATTTCTTCAAGGTAATTATGCATGCTCTTCATGGCCTTTTTCATCGGACTCGCTAAAGGTGTGAGAACAGCAAATGGACTCTTAAGGTTCGTCTGATTAACTGAATCAAGAATCAACGGTGACGGACTCGATTGGTATGGTGGTGCTGAGATCACCGGAGATGGAGATTCTGACCCAGAAGGGTTTTTGATGATCATTACTGGGCTTGAATTTACTTCCTTAACCTCACTCATTTTTCAATGATTTGAGTTTGTGTGTACAAGGGTTTGAGTGAGAAAATAATGAATGATTCTAGTGTGTATATATAGAAAAAATCTGAGGTGGGTTATGGTGGAGAAGAGAGTAAAGTAATATATTTGACCAATCGAACCCCACTTTGGCTGCTGTTGTATCAAATTAGTTTAATTAAGATTATAAGCAAATAAGTGCTTAACACGTTGTATAATTTGTTTGCTTTAATGCAGACGCCATGCAGATTAAATGCACAGATTATGGACTTTTCTCTTTTTGACATTATAATTCTCTTTTTTCGAAATTGTATAGTGCTAACGTTTCAATTTGACTCGAATCTTCAGGAAAGTGCGAATAACTTGTCTTGATGCTCATTTGGAAGCAATGTGTATGAGCAGAGAAAATTATTGTATGTCTGGTTTTTTAGATTATAAGTTATTAATTTTACGAAATGTGTGGATAAAAGTTGTAGATTCTATATAATACGTAAATAAATTAATTTACGACTAACTTATAATCTTGAAAAAGTTTCACCAATCATAGGGGTGATTGAGACAAGTGACATGCTTTTGGGACATAAAACTTATGCATCTCCATTAGTTCCGTTATTAGACTGTTTAAAAAACAATCATTGTCTCCATCGAGTCATTTTCTGCCACACACTTAGTCTGTCATCCAAGGTGTTAAAATTATCTGCAAAACAGCATTATTCCCATAACATAATGGTTGGACGAGTTTCCGTACCTCACAAAGTAGCTTTCTAGCCATCAATCAAACTCTTTACGAACATTTATTGTTACAAACTTATGATGATATGTAGGAATTAAAATCAACTTTTTTTTTTTTTTTTTTTTTTTTTATGATTATATCGATACTCTTGGCAAAAGGGTATAGAGTCGACGGGTCTTTACACTTGAAACTGCAGTATATTTCAAAGGTTGGGCTGTTTGCTCATTATAATAATACGTGAAAAACGTCACGAGATAATTCGGTCCATACCCAATATAGTCATCATAAATTGAGATAATCTCCTAGTATAAGAGGGGGTCATTATATTTTTTTTATCCGCATTGATGAGAATTTGAAGAAAAACTTATCAATTCGACGTATTTCTCGATTAACTAGAAGTCTTTTGAGAAATGAAAATATTGATTGAGGAATGATCTGTGAATTGAAAATAAGTGAGAAAAAACACCGAAGGAAACCATAGATTTTGTATTACTTCATAATGTCCATGGATTATAAAAAGAATGATACTGTTTATAAAATTACAAATAATAACATTATGAAGTGGATTAAGTACTTTTAGGAAGTGGATTTTTAGAGCACTTCTAAATTCCACAACTCATGAAATTTTGGTGTTACTGTTTTTGCTATGTTTTAAGCACATTATAAGTTGAATTCAAACAAACATTAAAAATAATTTTATTCATTTCTATATAAATGATACGACATTATAAAGGGTTGTGATTTCTTAAATTCAAAATCACAGTTATATATACTTTTCATATTACAAAATAGCCAATCACCCATCCACCCACCCCACCCCACCCACCAAAAAAAAAAAAGAGCTCTCTTTTTTTCTTTCAAGAATTAATGGTTGCAATTCTCGGAACTTCAACTGGAAAAACATTAATCTCATCCATCCATGGATTCTTCTCCTTGGCTGGATTGATACTCCTCAGTGCTTTCCACACAGCACTATTACATTTAAAACCTGATCCAAAGGCAATTTGCCATGTTTTGTCACCCTTTTTAATCCTCCCCTTAGACTCAGAATAGGCCAATTCATACCACAATGAACTGCTAGAAGTGTTACCAAACCTATAAAGTGTCATTCTTGATGGCTCCATATGCCATTCAGTAAGCTCGAGATTCTTCTCAAGTTCGTCCAATACCGCTCTTCCTCCCGCGTGAATGCAGAAATGCTCGAACGNATAAAAAAATGATTTTTTAGAAACCATTTTTTTTCCCCTTTTTTTTTTACTTTTTGGCAATGGAAACAAATTTTATAACCAATTGTGAAAAAAAATATCATTTTAATGGACAATTTTCATGTAAAATAAAACCAAACGAATAGAAAATTTAAAAATTTTTCGGGTGAAAAATTATACCAATCAAATACACTTGAAATCATTTTTCCTATAAAATATTTTCTAGGCAAATCTTTTTCCTGTAAAGTATTTTTTTCCATCTATTTTTCACTATTGCAATCAAACGCACCCCAATATCCATCATATGTTAAACGGGTCAAACTTAGAACTTTTACTGTTTTACAACTTAATTTGGTCACGTTTTTGGCTAACTACGCCGCCTTAAAGTAAGAGAGTGAACATTCTTTTGTCTGCTAACGTCAGCGATGATGCAATGCGATGATGCTAAATATTGCATTATTTTGATTTGCTTTCATCATCTTCATTTTACTTTTTCGTAGGAATAAGGAAGGATAGAGTCGAGTTGTTATAAAAAAATCCCGTTATTAAAATAGTAATAATAGCGGGTCCTACCTAACTAGACATGATTGAAAAATTGTGCAAATTTAGCACACGGCACATAATGTAACAAATGGAGAATTTACTTCATTATTATTAAAAATTTCAACTAGATTCCTAAATTCAAAACTGTTTTATATCCAATGATAAATCAAACTTCCCCTTACGATTAGTCACAAATGCTTTGGCTGAACGCATCCCTATCAATTCTTAAAAATATAAATTTGTTTCAAATTGGAAGTAGTAACTAATTTCTACTTCAAAAAACCTCGTATAGGTATAGCCAAAAATCCTAATAATTATCAATACAAATAATGTTAGAATGGACAAAGGAAAAGTGGATGAAATTGTCGTTTTGATTTGATGCCTTTAAGAAGAATATTATAGTAAAAAATCTTTCCATGTCGAGACAAAGAAAAATGGACTTTCTTTGTCTACGTAAGCACTATACGTGTTTGCAGTGACGCAATATCATGATGCTAATTATTGCATCCATTTTTTCATGAATTTCATTATTATTTTTTTTCTTGTGTTGCATATCATCGTATATTTTGTAAGAATGAAAAAAGGATCAAGTCGAGCTGCAACGTGAATTTTTGTTGTTTCCGCATGTATAAAAAATCAAAATACGAGTATATCTCTCCATAATATTAGCTAACCATACACGACGGAAAATTGTGTAGATTTAACCAGCAGCAAATTGAGTAACAAATGAAGAATTTTCTTTATTATAATGAATCATATTATTTAAATTTTCATATAGATCCCTTTTAAGTTTTAATCTAAAATACCTATCCTAAATTGAAATTTCCTACCCCGATAGTTATAAATGCTTTTTGACAAGTATTTTTCCTAGAAGTTGTGTGAACCAATAGCCAATTTGGTTCATTGCACCTAACCTTGGACCTTATTTTTTTGAACAACTTTTTTTTAATCGAAAGTTCTTTTTTCTTCCTTTCTTTTGTGGGCAGGTTACAAAAGGAGGATGGATTTGATTTTTGAAACCTATGTCGTAATTCATAATTTACTTTTTTTTTTTATTTTTACCAAAATATCAGTTTACGGTTTACCTGCAAAGTTATGTTAAGTTGTTACGTGAAAGTTTGGCTATTTTGATGGACTATAATAAACAAACCCACAAAAAAAGAAAAAAAGAAAAAGAAAAACGATGCCTCAAATGGAGTATATGGCTATTAACTTTAGAAAAAAGGTTTTCTTTGGTGACTTTATTCAACACTTTGGAAAAAGACATGAAGTGTGGATAAATACTTTTATAAAACCACTAGTGTGGTTAATATGCGTTGCACGTTAGTTGTTTAAT